TGAAGATCGACGTCGATAAGACTAGTCAAAGAGCTTCATGAATACCGATGGTTTTGGTTAAAAACTCGTATTCATGGTGAAGTTAGCTGCTGAGAGATTCAGGTGTTCACCAGAACATTCAAATTAGGCAAGTAACACTTTTCAGTTTTCTGCCACTTTTGAAGTGGATAAAAAGTTATGACTGTAAGCGTGGCAAATGAATGGATTTGAGAAACTAAAAAAAACGTACACAACATCTGGAAAGAGGAACATGCCATAAGTGTTGAGGCCACACTAGCATGGTACACGGACGTGGCAAGTGTGGGATGGTTTCATTAGTCCGAAAAAATCGCAGTTCCTTTGCATAGGAGGCCATTGGGACCAGCACGTCAAGGTCATCACGCATTTCGGCCAATCGCAACGGACTAACTCCATTCGCATCTGTTCTATCTGGATCCCACAGATAAGGTTCACTCACGAGAAGCGCAACACAATGCTTGGCAGAATATAAAACGGCCAGCTAGAAAACAAAAAAACTGATGCATTAGCACCTACACCAATGGATCATTGTCTAAAACACAGATGTTGCGTACACAGCCAAGCTACAGTGACTTCATCTATGTCGCGTGGAAGTGTCTGGTCGAACCGATTAGCAAAGAAGTCGATAACTCTTTGCTACGTCGGCCGAATAATCCTTGTTGGGCGTGCAAACTGGCCGCAGTTCTCCCCAAATGGTTTTTCGCCGTTTGACCGTAAAACTCAGGCTGCAACTTAAAGATATCTACACTTATTAATCATACAAATGATGTATAAATTTGAAGGCTTTGACAGCAAAGTTTACCGCAACATCCCAAGTGGTTTTGGCTTTAAAATAACTCATTGTACACTACCGGTCAACGAAACAGAAATGAACACAAAGGAATGAGAAACAATATGTGCTGAAAAGTCAGGAAATGCCCTACCGGGACACCCCAGTGTGAATCTGTAACGCACTATCGATAATCTATAGGTAGCAAACCAGGTAGAATTATTCGCAAGGCCCGTGAAACTTACACCTCAAAATTTGCCAATCAAGAAGCCAACCAACTAGTGTGACCATTTGCTATGGATCCCGCGAATGAAGAATCGATGGTACCTATTTGGATGTGCGAATTACCGTATTTACCAGACCGAATGGTTTGTTGCTCAAACTTCTTGTCGGGATCTCACGCGTTGGATGCAACCTTGAGTGTCGTGAGACGCACACTACTGATTGTTCACAATAAGTATGGAGCACCTGTGTAGTTCTAATCAGCTTTTCAGTACAAATGCGCTTCCGCGATAGTACGAAAGCCTTTAAACTTCCAAAATCTGCTCATAGTAACAAAAGAAAGCAAAT